TAGCATAGCTCATCACAGCCAAGCACCCCATCCAGGAAACATATGGCACAACCGCTCCGGATCAATTGCATCATGTATTAATTGTTGAACCTATAAATTCCGTATTAGTCAGAAAATTATGCAATTTTAAAGTTACAAAAAAAAAGTAAATAATTAAAACTATTTGCGCCAGAGCTTGATTGTTGATTTTGTTTTAATTTGACATTAAAAGCAATACTCTATAAAAATATTGACAATTGAGATGGGACAACAAATACAAACATACCTGCCCGTGAACGCTTCTCATTTCGCCATCTTCATATCCATCTAACTTTTGTTTGACGCGCAACAAGGCTCTGGTTGCATCTTTGTTTCCTTCATAAACTTCTTCACTGGTATTCTCGTAGCTCACGACTAAATCGTCATAAGCATCCTGGTAAAGGCAAACAAAAAATAAAAAAGAAAGCAAATGTGAGAAGCTAATATAAATAAATGAAATGTAATGCTTGGAAGTAAAAACAACAGGACAAAATATGAACAGATTTATGAATAGAGGTAGGAGCTCAAAATACCTCCAAATCGGGAAATTAATTCAATTAGCCTTTTCAGTTCAGCAAACATGATAATATTTCCCATTACAGTAAGTTGACTTGCAATATTTTTTTTCTTCTAACAAAAAATTCATAGACGAGATGGGTGTAAGAAACTGGGGGGAAAAACGGGTGCAGTTCCACGCACGTGAAGCGCACCATAAGCAGGACCATAATAGCGGTTCCGATTTATATTATTCCTTCAATTACACAAATAAAGTAATCTCTTCTAGTGACCTCTTCATTGGTGCCATCATATACACTCTACTACCAGAAAATGAATGGAATTCATACTGTTATAAGCATAAATGGGGAGAAAAAAAGAAATGAACTACTGAAATACCTTCTGACGTCTCATAGCCTTTAGAGGTGATAAAGCCCACTTATATAAAGGATCATGGATAAAGACCTGCGTAAAATTCCACAGCACATTTTAATGGTTTGGTCATTTTCCCAAAATAGCAGCATCTATGTTCGTCCAATAACTGTGTACCTCAATGATTGTAAGCAGTGCTTCTTTATTTGATCTCATCACAGATAGAGTTTCCTCACAACATCTTCTAAAAACTCCTTCCACCCCAGTTACTCCCATGCCATCTATGATGTCTCTCGTCAGCCGAAATGGAACCTGAACATTGATGGTGTTATTACATCAGTCAAGGCAAGCAAATGAGAAATGAAATTCACAAAGTCGCAGAACATGGAAATATTCAAGTGAAAAACCAAACTCGTTCAGGTGTTTTTAGCATCAGTCCTTGCTCAAATGCGACTCCTAGATCAATATGAACAACTTCTGCTGTAGCTTGATCGATCAAAATATTCATGGAATGCCGGTCACCTAATCCCACAATGTAACCCACCTGTGTAGAGAAGGCAACAGAAATTTACTGCTATCAAATCTTCAAGATTTCTCCAGGACAAAAATGTTTAGGCAATGTATTTATTGAAATGAACAAAAATTGTATTCATCATGCAAAAATATCTTTGAAAAATGGGAAAAGACACAACTATAAGGCCAGTAGGCCACAGACCATTGAACTAGCCGCCACACTCCTTGTATATGCAAGTCTCTTGTCAAACCAGTCCGCAGGCTGTGAAAACCTCTCCAAGAAGAAGTAATGCATGACTGGCCTGCATTTCGAGTCAAATAAGCAGAGTTAGATCAGCCGTTTAACAATGTTAGGTAGTTTCACAAAATCCAGACACCTGAAATTCTGGCAGACTTCTTGGAATGCCTTGGGCTTGTTAGTTTCCTACAAAACAACATGCATGAGATAATTAAGTGATTTCTTAGAAGAACAAAAACTAGGAACACGGAGAGAGAGAGAGAGAGAGAGAGAGAGAGAGAGAGAGAGAGAGAGAGAGAGAGAGAGACTAAAACAGGTTACACAAAAGAACCGTATTGATACATACTGTAGTCATGTGCTGCCGGCATTCCATAAAAGTCCAATCCCCTACTCCGTAACATCCATGAGCACCTCCATTTCTGGAGCTACATTAGGCATCGATATGTTTATACCTCAATAATTTGTTTTAAATTATTGCCTTTATTATGAAGCAAATGGGTTGTGCGACTAACCTTCCAATAAGATATTCACCCAGCGGGAAAGTTCCGTTCACCCACTCTAGAACACCAGCGCTGGGAGTAAAAGGCACAACCTATCTCATAAGAGAAAAAAAGGTTTATTATGCAATCCATGTATACAGTATCTACTTCACTAACCAATTTTTTAATAAAATAGAGAACTTATCACAAAACTAAACAGAAATACTAGTTTTTACCTACCTTGTATGTACGTATCTTGAGCCGCCTCCTCCATGTGTCACGGTTGTTCTGCAAGAAAGTGTTAACTAAACCGAAGAACTGCTCCATCACCTGCATGTTATGTATCAGAAATATGTAAATATAAATAAAATAGGAGTCCTAGGTCTGACATTGGAACAAGCTTTTTGAAAGAAAAAAAAAAAATCGCAATACCATATTAAATATTGAAGTAATAAAGACACTTCTACTACATCAAAACGACAAATCCCACCCGAGATGAACAGGGGGTGGACATGCTCATCATGAGACCTGTTGAAATTCACGGGAGACACGATAAACTATAGCACAAATCTATGTTTTGGGATATATTAAAGCATGGTCTCAAATTCTATAAAACAAGACGAGTAAAATTAGAAGCTCTAGGGAATAAATCACTTTGGTGATGCCAACGAACAAAAAGTCCCACAAAATGCTCCACAGAAAACGAGACGAAGAACTTTAGTTCCATTCTGAAGCTAAAGTGCATGCAAGATGGTTTGATATAAGAGATGGACACTAGTAACTCATTTAGACAAATTCTACTGGAGAGAAAGAGAGGAAAAAAAGATTCCCATCTGAACTATAGCTTGAGATTCCAGAGATCAATTAAAATCTATTTAGGTATTATATTTAATACTACATCTCTTAGACTTATTTTATATATTCACTTATATAAAGAAAAACATCATTCTCCTGTCGCTTAAGTTCAACCATAAACTTTCTACAAAACCATCATTTCAACAGCATAGATAATTCACAAGAGTAAGTAATCATAATACATACAGCATCTTGTCTCAGGTCATCATTGCCTGATTTTGCAAGTTGTCGATATCGGTTACCATCAGAACCAAAGCACTCCACCACTTTCGGGGCATTAATTCCATTCATTATGCTGTAAATCACCCACAGAAAAAGGAAAAACATTTCATCGTAATTAATGTGAAGCTCTCTAAGAGATGATCCATTTCAGATTCCAAGCACAAAAACCAGAAACTACTCATTTTGATGATTGAGCACTGAATTGATGCTAGATGTTATCAGAAAACAAGTCCCAGATATGGACAAATATCTATTCTAAATACTAAGCAATTGCTTCATTCATTTTCACGACGAAGAAAATAATGAATTCAACATTTTCGTCATACAAATTCAAGCTCCGGAAGGAGCATTGAGACTTACGTGATTGAATCAGTCAGCCCCTTGAAGTGAGGAAAAGATCCTTCAGGATATTGACAACTACGGTCAACAGAGACATTAGACGTTATAACAGGAACCTGAAAAGTCATGGATATGCATTTAGAAAACTCAAGCCACGACAGGTCTAGAGACAGATGATATCAAAGCAGTAAACAAATTAGTACAGTGGCATGAACAATAAATTGATAACCAGATACTTTGACATGTATGACCAATCAAAAGATGAAAAGGGAAAGAACTGTTACAAGCTCAAGTTCACGAACGCTGCGGATGTCTCGAGGTAGATTCACTCTTTTGTTTGTATCCTGTTTTAAATCAGATGTCAAGGCCAAATTCTACTGGAAGGCTATGTAAAATAATACACAAAACGTCAACAATTTACCTCTCTCTTTGTTTCCATTTCTGCAAGTTTAATGTATACCTCCACCATTTGTTTCATCTAGGTAGCCAATTTAACAAAATCAATAAATGACACAATTACCGACGCGTATTCAAGAAATGAAGTGCAAAATCTGAGAGCTGTACTTGTCTGATGATAGCTCCGTGATAAGATGACAACTCCTTCAGAAGATCTTCAGCAGCAATCTTTTTATCGACATCTACCACAAACGAGTTTCTACTGCGCTGCTTGTCCTTGATCCGGTCACCATTTGCCAGAGCTAGCAACTAATAACGAACGAGAAAGGAAAGAAAGCACATGGGATGCAGTAGTCATGTACTCATGTAATTCATGGCATGAAATCTTCTGAACGTACATGCACTAGCACCTAAATGCACGGTAATCCACTAAATAGATATATTACTAGAGAGAGATTCTAAAACATGGTATCTCGAGATTAATTTTCTCAATAATCCAACCATAATACCTGGAATATTGTATGATAAGGATGGTCAAGGGCCATCTTCTTCACAAGAGAAAATAGTGCAAACTGCAATTACCAACAGCGTGAGAACAAAAAAAAAAAAAAGTAAAGACAAAAGAACAAACGTGATCTATAGAAGAAGAATTCAGAATTAAAAACTAACCTGAAAGCTTATAGGTCCAAAAGAGTCCTTGGTGCCACTCAGTCTTGATGCAATTTGGTATACCAATATAATAAACTTATAAGATTGTACCTAAGGGAAGGTATCAGTAGATAATGAATGAAACCAAATGCTAAATATAGAGAAACTGTAGTTCCAGATTGCAGAAAAGGAATATTTTAATCTATCAACTAGAGTGTTAATAATCACAACTTTACCTCCTTGATAGTACTAATCATGCTATCCACAACAATCTGTCTACTTGAAAGGCTGAACCATAGCGAAACAAGTCGAAATACCTAACAGCAGACAAGAACTTGTGAATTCTAGAAAGTGGACATTAAAATTACGATTCAGCTAACATAAAGAAAAAAATTGATACACGAAAAATAGCCATCGGGAATGGCAAAGAAAGAACGCATGACTTCTTCTATATTTATCAGAATGTATACTCTAGTGCATTGTAAGCAAAATCAGATTTTAAAAAATAAAACTCAGATAATAATTTCTATTACTTAGCACTTACCACATGAACATCATATTTCTCACCGATGATCAAACATCGCTTATATCCCTCCAGTGCTGTACATAAAAAATTGTCCCTGTCTTCCTGCATCAGCAAAGATGAAACATCGAAATAACAAGATAAGTTTAAGCCACAGAAATCATAATCAGTTTCAGCATCATTAGATCACAAAAGATTCATACAACAACACAACAATGTTACGAACAACCGAAATACATATGAAAAAAAAAGATGGAATCCTGACTCTGAACACTAAATCTGAAAAGTCAATATTACATAAATGTAATTTCGAGACTTTTCAACTGTAGGATTACAAGAAAGTAGCTACAATATATAGACTCAAATAAGCAGCAAAAGTTTGTGAGGAAATCGAAGATCGATAGACCACTAATTTTTTCTGGAATTCCACTTTTCACACACATAACAGAAATGAGACATTATTAACCACTCACAAAGGCTACTTTGAATGTCAAAATCATTATCACTCATGAACTTACTTGTAACTTCTTTTCTTCTTCTGTGTCCATCGCAAGTTGCTTTTGCAGTTCTTGTATTTTTAGTGTAAGGTCAATTTTTTCTTCCTAGAACCATTGAGAGTTAATATCATTAAAGATTTCCAGCACTGCTAGTGCAAGTATGAAATGAACAATTAAAAGAATAAAACAAGAAATGAAACTTACCTTTCCTGCACTCTTGTAACGCTTGGTCAGTGCTTCTCTCTCCTTTTCCTTCACATTATAATTGCATTTCAGATTGCAGTTACCAAATAACAACCCTACTCCATAGTATTTAACCGGGTCCTATAAACTTAAAATTCTTTCCTAGGGCGCATCTATAGCACACACAACGCATACCTTGAGTTCCCGTAATTGCAGAGCTACTTTCCATTCATTGGAGCAAAGTCTTTCTTCATGACTACGAAAAAGAGCATCTGAATAATGCGCAAGATGGAAATGCATTTGGTTTCTTTTCTCTTTAGATAACTTGTCAGTAGTCTTTTGATCCTCCGCTAGATTAACAGCTTGTTTCAGGTACTTGTCTAATATAGTCCTGGAACTGCAGCAGCAAACGCATAAAAGTAACTAACGAGAGTATGGTATGAAATGTTTATTAAGATATATATAGACATATTTGGTCATGATCATGTGTTCAGAGATTAGCTTGAATGTGGTTACCCTTTGCTTAAGCTTTAGAAGGGTAATAATATTGCAACTTCGCAGAGTTAGACAACACCGTTGGGAGGATCAAAGTTTATTACTTAAGTTTAATAGCATATGGTACCAATATAAGCCTTCAATGTAGAATACTTATACAATTTAAAGTATTGACGCTTAAAAAGCATCTGTAACACTTCTTAATCAATCAAGATATAAGTCAAAATTAAAAGATAAACAAATAAATAAATAAAGATTATCAGACTTTTATCTGTTTCTTAACAAATTTGTTGCACTAGTTACTAATTTAGTCTAATAACAGTTTATTTATTTATTTATTTGCAGATGACTACATGTGTAGTTAATGAAAACATGAGTGAAAAAGCAACACGAGACTAACTTGCTCGATCGAGTTTCCGCAAGCCATTTACCAACTAAGCGAAATACATCAGGAGCCTCTTCTTTCAACTGCTGATTTTGTGAAATATAATTTGCAAGGTTGATTGCCATCTCATGCTGACCTTGGGCACGCAGAAGCTTAGCTTCTTCTAGCTTAAAAAGATAAAGATGCATAAAAGTTACAAGTGTATATTAAGGAACATAAAGTTTACCAACTAAAAGATTATCATAGCATCTAATGACTAAAAGAATATATAAGCAGAAGCTGTGGTACAGAATCGTCGTACCATTTCCCACACCCAGAACAGAGATCAAGGTTAGCTTGTGCAAGGATTATTTCCTAAAGGTCTAAATCAAATGAGTGAATCAATAACATTCCAATACGAAGCATGGCTTCCGATAAAAAATTCTGAAAACTTGAATTTATTATAGTTCGTCCAAAGGCAAGTGAATCATTTCAATCAGAAATAAGTGATTACATTTGAGAAGCTAGCAAATTATAGTTTTGAAGCACTTGTGAAATGTTTATCGATATCTGCCTTCACCAAAATATAAGACACCCTATAGTACTATAATTTCTCTGCATTAGGCCAGGAAGCAATGTATTTATAGTTTTTGCAAGTCATCGAAAAACCAAATGGAAAATGCATACCCTTCCAAGCCAGTACAAATTGGAATATTCTTCTCCCATCTGAGAGCAGAGAGATTTAAACTCATGCAATGCTGCAGCAGCCTGAGAAATCCTAGAGCCCTGCAGATAAACCAAGTAACCAGCTTAGTCGGCCCTCCTTTGGTTCCTTCAAATATGTATTACAAACCTTACCTTGCGAAGAACCGAGGCTGCTTCGCGAAGATGATGCACTGTACTATCCATAGAGTTCAAAACCTGAAGCAAGACTCTTCTGAACGCTATGAATGGTTCCAGCAAATTCATATGTAAATCTGTTTGTTTTAAAATGCAACTCCAATTCCTGTGAAGCCATTGCAACTGTAAATTTAAATTCACAGGTTAGTCTGATATAAAATTAAACTTTTTTTGGCATTTAGTCCTCCTAGACACTCCCACAAAACTTAAAACAAGACATCTTAAAATGAGCTAAAGTGGCTTTATCACTCATAAGCAGTATTTTTGTAAAAAAAAAAAAACACCTGCCAGATAAGCTCCACCAATACTCTGATCTATGTTTCTAATAAGAAGCCAAACAGTGGAAAATTTCAATACCTGATCAATGGTAGGGATTACAGGTTCCGGTAACAATTTCTGTCTGCCAGAAGAAGAATCAAAGTTCTCCATTACTGAACACCATCTAAAATCCCATGCCATACCGAGATGATAAAATATCTGGCAAGCAAATAAATCCAAAACACAGAGAAAGTAATCAAGTATGTAACCTCAATCCCTAACAACAATAAAAAAATTTAAAGATGCACCTATTTGCATCTGTATTGAATGGATGTACAATAAAAAGGCTCCAGATTCACCAGCAGGCTCAACAAACATTGGAAAACCTTAAATCCATATAATAAATATAAGAGAGACAATGTACCTGAAGTTTAACTATACTTGAGTAAATGTACTCAGTACTCTCCTTACTGGCATGGCAGATGGACATCAAAAGAGCCTGAGACACATGAAAGAATATTAAATTCCAAATGTTATGGTATTATTGATATATAGCATATTTGCACCTACTAACCTGCTTTGAGTCTTTCAGCGTCGTATGGAACTCATCAAATTCTCCCTCTTGTAAAGCTCTCAAGCAACTGTACAGATCAAGTAGAATATGAGCAATAATTGATGTCCAAACATCAACATCATGCTAATATATCAAAAAATTGAGCTGGTTCCTGATAAATTCCAACAGACTGCATAGTTCTGAACTCAATACTTCATTTTGTGGCAATATGAGGACTCAGCAAGAAGTCCAATATTGGTTTTTCATCCATACCCACACAGCAACAAACTTTCCAGATAGACGAAGTAACGTGTACTAAATGGATCTAAGAAATTATTGGAGTAACAATAGAAAATAAGAACATACTTGTTACTCCCTGATTCTTTCATTGTCAAAGGTAAAACAAATCAACCAAAGGAAGCCTTTCAGCTATGTTACCAGAAAATGTCAATAGTAACAATTGCAATGCTTCAGAAAATGTATGTATATATACTTAATTGTATTAGCCCATCACATAGTAATTAGTTTGCCGCACAGCAGACTACTATGAGTGGTTTATAGGATCAGAAATTCCAGAACGCGTAAGATATCAAAGCTATATAAATTTATAATAAAACATCAATACCTGTGCAGATTTTCATTGAAATTATGCCCATCATTGCATTGATATGAAACTGATGTATCAGCACCAGAATAGAGTGGACAAAAATCCCAGTTTCCAGCACGCCAAGCAGCTTCATACTGCACAAGATAGGGAAGAATTAAAATAAACCAAGTCACAGACACATAAGAAAAAAAGGGGGGGGGGGGCGAAATTGGAGGAATGAAACAGGGGTGGTGACATCAGCCTAAAGAGATATTATATCAAACCTGCAGCTCGCTAAATTCTAAATCATGCTGAAACCGGCCCCTCTGGGAAGTTAATCCCTGACAATATACATCCAAGACATGAGCGCACCCAACTTGCTGTAAAGATCTAATTAGTCCTTTGTAAGGTTTCTTCTGGTTAATGCCATGTTCTGTTTCGGAGATGGGTGCATGTTCTGTCTGTAAATAGTTCCCGGTAGAAGAATTGATGGAACTACTAATTTGAGCCATTGGCTGAGAGCGTACTTGCATATCATAGTATTCAAGTGCTTTACTCCAATTACCCTCATGTTCAAAAGTGATTATTTGAGATGTAAGCTGCAAATCAAGAAAATGAACTACTGTAATTATGATGATTCCTGAGTTAATAGCAAACTAAAGGAATGTCATGGCTGTATCAGCATGAAATGTTGAATTGTCTTGGATCTTCTATGTTTCACACACTTATGACTCCTAATGGTGAAGGAACATACAGTCAGGAGCTAAAACAGCACTAACTTCTTGATAACAATGTGTTTGAAAAGTAGTGGCTAAGGTTTACATTTGATCAAACTAACCAATGTATATGTGGTGTCATGAGCAACGGTTCACAATGTGCAATAAATAATCTAAGTTTAATGGCATTTTAAAATTAATAATATGTGGCATAAGTTTTTCTAAGCAAGTATAAAGGAACAAGCATGCATAATAAGTAAATGACTAGACTTTTTATGGAAAGGCACCTACCTTCAAATCAATATCCTGAATTAAATAACATATACTAGATAAAAGAATAGTCAATTTGCAACTAAAATTATCATAATTCCCTCACTGAACATGTTCGTTCTGAATAATGCATAAGATGTGTCCAACTATGTGAAGTTCAGAATTATTTTATGTCAAAACCTTCAACTAACCTTGTGAGATTGAATAATCCCATAGAGACTGTCAGGCTCATTGATTTGGGTGACTGCTGATAGAAGTATATCGACATGAGGCGGGAGCTACACTCAGAAAAGCAAACAAGATTAACTGATTGAGTGTCTCGCATATAGTGAGACAGGAGATTTCATACTTGATACTTGATAGCCATAATCCAAAGATATCAGGCAGATAAGAACAAATTTTGGAAAAGGCATGGCGAACATACTGTTTCATGGTGAGAGAAATCTGGGCTGCCCAATGTAAGGCCACTAAAATGCTCCTCACACCAGTGCTCAACATACAGAAAAGCAGTAAAGTAGGAGCCACAATCCTGCAATCACATTAAATTAAGGAAAAGGAAAAACAATTTGGAAATTATTAGAAGACAGTAACATAAAATAGAGGAATTCGTGAAAAGGAAACCAAATTGTACTCACAATAGCAGACTTTGCAACTACAAGGTAATCCACAGCAAGCCAATAAACCTGGACAACGGCACCAATCTATAAGGGGATACACTTCGAAACCTTAGACACAGAGAGAGAGAGAGAAAGAGAGAGAGAGAGAGATAGAGAGAGAGATGAAATGAAATATATGTAATCACTTGACATGCTGATCAATGACAACTCATTTTCAATTCCAAACATGAAGTTATCCAGTAAAGTGGTTCTGTTGAAACTGAAAAGGATTACTGGAAACATTACAGTATTAGTTGTTGGACCTATACCGCTATGGAGATTTGTGAAGCAATCTGCAGTTATACATTCGTAGGCAATCTAATGTATACTGGTAACCAAAAAAAAAAAAAAAAAAA